GGGCCCCCGGCCCCGGGCCTGCCGGAATAGCCAGGTTTTGATAGCCTTTCGGAAGGCCATGAGAGTGGGGAGGGTCCGGATCTCTGGGGGTAGCTCGTTCCATCGGGCCGGAGCGGCAACAGAGAAGGCCCTCCCCCGGGGCCCTGTGTTAGATCCTGTGTTAGAAGAGCTCCTGGGTGCAGGACTGCTTAGGGGGAAACCTTCCATGCCTTCTGCACGACACCCATGTGCTTCTGTGCCCATTTGGGGCCAGCATTAATTCCTAGAGGAGCCGGCACATCTCATTATATGCGAAGATCGTGGCAGAGGCGGCCCTGGGGCTCCAAGCAGAGCATGGAAAAATGGAGGGCCTTGACCAGCCTATAGGGGCACTTCCTGTCTTGCAGCTGCTACAAATCCGTGAAAGAATCTTGAATCTCGGCCACAAAGTTGTTTACATACTAAGTTTGTTTTGCTTGATGTATGCGCAGATATTTCGGCCGCGTTGCTCACTTTAACTGAGAGAGATCAAAATGTCCTCATCCAGATTTATTCGCAGCCCAGCTCCGCCAGAGCGAGTGGAATGCTAAATTTTCCAGACCAATTAGCACAATATTTTTGGCCTGCTTGCTATACTGGGAGGCTGAACTCACTTGCCTCTGGGGCCTTAGAGCAAAAACGAAAAAGGGACCTGAACAAAAAGGAAATGGTTTTAATTAAAGTCAGTGTTGATCAATTAATTACAATGAATGTTCCGTCTGCATTTAATTATTTTCTCCTTCTGGCAAGTTAAAAATTGCTACCCATTCAGGGTCTCCAGGGATTTTCTTCCCAGGTTTTAAGTTTTTCCCTGATTAATCAATGAAACTTTTAAAAAGAGGGGGGGGGGAAAGTTGCCTTTGAGTGAAGCTTGATCTTAGCCACTCCATGTGTGCGTGCGTTTTTGGGGTGTGTAGTTTCCAGGTAATTTTTGTGGGAACAATGTGGAAGGGCAAAACTTTTTGCCGGATCCACAGCTGGCTTGAAAGCCAGAGTCCTCCTCCTCCTCACCAGAATGGACCGGATCATGGGGCCGGGGCTCTTCAACGGTGTCTTGTGTGAGGGACTACAGGAAGAGTGGAGCAGATAATACAAAACTGGACAGAATGGCTAATACTCAAAAACGCAAATACTTAGAGCAGTTTTTGTCAATCCCAGCTACTTTAAGATGCATGGACTTCAACTCCCCGAATTCCTCAGCCAATGCAGAAGCCATTCAGAGTTCATTACTGGTGAGGAAGAAAACAGATGTATAGGTACCGGGTGCAGAATGCCATTGGGATCAAAGATACATGTAGGAAAGATAATTTTGTAATTGAGCACAAGCTGAAAATAAGTCAGTAGTTATTAAATTAAGTCAAAGATCTTAAGCTGCTCCCACAGAGGCACAGCTGGGAGCTAAGGGCTTGGCCCTATTCTGCCCTGGCCTGAGCCCACTCGGACGGCCGAGTGCTGTTTGCAGCACCACCTCTGACGGAAGATTGCGGGAAACTGAAATAGGTGGAATAATTTTGGATAATTCCGATTTGCAGGTGCTCATGTCCCCGTAGGAAGCATTTTTCTTTCCAAAACTCACGGATCTTTGCTTCCCTTTCCAGACTCTTCAGGAAATCTTCCAGACAGAAAACACCATCATGTTACTGGAAAGAGCCATCATGGCCAAAGAGTGTCCACTCAAGGTGGCCCAGACGCGCCTGGAAGCAAGGACCCGGCGGCCAAACATGGAGCTGTGCCGGGACCTCCCCCAGTTCAAGTGAGTGCTGCCACGCTTTCCACGGCACCTCAGCCCTGAGAGACGCTGCTGTGGCTTTAAAGGCGGGCTCGGTTTGTGCAGCGAAGCACAATTTTGGGAATCCGGGCTGAGTCCCTGCAAAGCCCGCTGGGTGGTTCCCTCGCCTGGACCGTCCTGAGCCCTGAGTGGCCTGTCTGGCTCAGGCGGTTTTCACATCCAACCCCAGGCCGGCCGGCGGCTGGTGCTTCTGATCCACTGCGGCCTCTGCGTTTTGGTTCAGGGTGTCCCAGGCTGAACGTGAGCCAGGCTTCCCTTGCGAGTGGGGGGGGGGGGGGATTAAATGCCAGACTTGGGCAGAGGCAGCCGGCAGAGAGCTCTGTTGCTCGTAAGAGGGCAGGAGGAGGAGGGAATCCTCCCGCCTTGCAAGTCAGCGCTGCTTCAAGGCTTCTCCTTGTTGCTCTTCGCCTTGGCTAATTTGTTAACATCTTTTTAAGCACCTGGAACTGATCCCGTTAAGGGAGAAGCGAAAGGCAAGCCGGTCTCTGCCTGCGTGTGCTCCGGCGCCCGGGGCTTCCCACTGGGGCTGCCCTCCCGGGTCCCAGCAGCTTCCCCCTCTGAGCCCCTCCTTTCCCTTCTTCCCTTTCAGGCTGGTGAACGAAGTCTTCACCATCGATGACACCCTCCAGACCCTGAAGCTGCGCTTGCGAGAAGCCCAGGACACTCTGCAGCTGCTGATCCTGAACAAGTCGAAGCTGGAGCACGACCTGATGGTGAAGGCCAACAGCCTCTTCATCGACAAGGAGAAGTGCATGGGGATGCGGAAGACCTTCCCCAGCACGCCCCGCCTGGTCGGCTACACCTGAGGCTGCGGCGGCCGCCTTCCGCGCTCCTGTCAATCTGACATAAAAGGTTGAAAATCATGGGAGACATTTCTGCTCGTTTATTTTTTTCTAGCAAAAGGAAGAAGGAGAAAGAAAAATAAAAAAAAGTCCCGTGAAAATAAACGTAACAAAACCAAAACCGGAGCAAGGTCACCGCTTTTCTTGCTTGCAGAAAGTGTGAGACGGATCGCTTCCTATGGGAGGAAGGCCATAGCCAGCCGGGCTCTGGAGCAGACGGGAGCCGCATCCAGAGGACGGCCTGATCCTGGCCCTCGTCCCCAGAGTTACTCTTTCCCCCCGTTTAGCTCCACGGGAGCCATGAGGCCGAACCCACCACTGAACTCGGAGATCTGGCAGCCCGTGTGGCCAGAGGATGCGACCCTGTGCAAAGGCGTCCTTAGCCTAGACGCAGAGTAGACTAACTCCTCCTGCACAGGTAGGCTGATCCGCTTGGGCCAGGGGAAGCCGGCCTGCCGAAAGGCAAAGGGTTGCGTGTGTGAAAGCGCCACGTAAGTAGCTAACATTCATCCTAACTCTTCCACCTGTGTGAAGTTGAGCTGTGTGTCTGCCATACGAAGTGCAGAAAAAGGCCTGGGATTCAAGGGTCTCGCCATGTTTGCAAAAGGGGAGAATGGGATGCACATCGTAGAAAATGACTCTTCCTCCTCCCCCAGCTCTATTTTTTACAGAATACAGTTTACGGTGTAGGGAGCAGAGGATGCAAACAAGTAAGCCATGATGATGATAGTCATGCTGGTGTTTGCTCCCAGGGAATTCACGATCAGATGGCGGTTTCCTCCCAGCTCAGAACAGTTCCACTGCCCAGGCTTCTGCCCCAAGTCCCCCTCCCTCCCTCCCTCCCTCCCTCCCTCCCTCTCTCTCTCTCTTTCCCTCCC